AAAGAGCCAGAGCTCAACCCCCGCAAGCACAACTAGGTGAGTACACATACACCCCCCCCCCTGGCCCCGTCCCCCCAGCAACATGCCACTCAGACGACACACAGCGCCACTCTTGTGCCATTCAGATGCTTTTCCCTACTCGGCATAACGCGAGAGAATTACACCCCAAATTACACCATTACACAAAAGATACACAACTTTACACAACGCCCGGTGTCATGGCCGCCAGGAGCCGCCTCCTGATTGGTCCACGCGGGAGCCCGGCTCTTTTTCGCGGGCAATAGACCAGCCAATCATCGCTGAGAACATCACTTCCAAAGTCATTTGTCCTCGTCTCGTAATGTTTCGTAATATGGGCCGCACACTCGTCAATGCCCTTATTAGGCGAGTGACCGAGATTTATGATAATTTCTTGGTTTGAGCAATAGTTATGGGACAGTGTTTACTCAAGGTATACATTCAAATTCAAATTCAAATTTTTATTCAAGCATATACATAGATGAAGAGTTAGAAACATAATGTTGGATTTATAGATAGAGCTAGTACATACAATACCTAAGGCTACTAATACGCATAGCGTTTGGGGCAAGGCTTATCCTACTAGTTTCACTACAACACAATCCATCAACCGGTTGACAGACAGGTACCCAATTACTGCTGGGTGAACAGGGGCAACAGTTAGTGATCACTGGATACAAGAATAGTTCTGACGATAACTGTATCTAATACCTAGTTTTCAAGTCACATATACAGTCAATGAGTCACGTATACAGTCAATGACGGTCACATATAGTCATTAACAGTCATATATGCAGTCAATGCCAGTCAAATAGTCAATGAGTCACATATAAGTCACTGACAGTCAGGTGTAGTCCCTGCACAATCACATTTAGTCATTAACAGTCACATATACAGTGACCATAGCCACCAGACAAGCAGTCATACACTTAGAGCCAGGTGTGTAAAGCAACCATCCACCCAGCCAATCAGATACCATATACTCGTATAAAATCTACCATATACTGGTATAGGATCAACCATATATATGCGTATGTAATTCAGGTTGTATACACTCAATAACATCCTTAACTACGCGGTCGCATTATTATATATTCGCCAAGAAAAACAGCACAATCTCGAACAAAAAAAAAACAAAATAAAAACAGCAAAATCATAGATGACAAAACAGGAGACGGTGGAATCCGGTCGGTGCGGCGATGTGTTTTTGTTTGTGTTGGGCGGGAAGCCGTCGCCGCCGGGAGGATCCGGTCGGGCGGGATCCGTGCCCCACAAAAACGACTCAATCCTTCTCACCGTAATGTCTCCCCCGCTTATGTTCTTACCCACCGGCAGTTATCTTACGAGGGCCCGGAATTATCTTACGAGGCCCGGAATTACCTCACAAGGCCCGGAATTATCTTACGAGACCCGGAATTACCTCACGAGCCCCGGAATTACCTTACGAGAGCCCGGAATTACCTCACGAGCCCCGGAATTACCAAGTTCAAGTATGTTTATTGAGATAAGCAATAAATACATCTCAAAGGGATAGAGTAGCTTAGGCTATTTCTACCCCCCCATGCCGGAATTACCTTACGAGGGCCCGGAATTACCTCACGAGCCCCGGAATTACCTTACGAGAGCCCGGAATTACCTTACGAGAGCCCGGAATTACCTTACGAGGCCCGGAATTACCTCACGAGACCCGGAATTACCTCACAAGGCCCCTGCAGCCCCCCCCAAATGCCTCCTGGCGGGAAAATGTGAAAACAGAGAAGCGCCACTTGGCGGGAAAATGGGAAAACAGAGAAGCGCCACTTGGCGGGAAAATGGGAAAACAGAGAGGCGCCACTTGGCGGGAAAATGTGAAAACAGAGAAGCGCCACTTGGCGGGAAAATGGGAAAACAGAGAAGCGCCACTTGGCGGGAAAATGGGAAAAGAGAGAGGCGCCACTTGGCGGGAAAATGGGAAAACAGAGAAGCGCCACTTGGCGGGAAAAGACCAATTTGTTGTTGCTGGGGCGGGCGGAATACCTCAGAGCGGGCGCAAGCATAAAGGAATAACGCCCAAACTTCTCTCCTTCTCCGACCCCTAAATGTCATGCTAAGAATTTTTTCACGGCGTATATTTTTGTCTTGGTTTTTTGTGTTTTTATAAAGCTTTAAAGTGGTGACGAGAAGAGAGGAGATGGGGGCTGAGAGAGAGCGGTCTGTGAGGATGGTTGAAATCTGTATGGTAGTGTCTTCAGCTGGCTTCCTAAGCCAGTACAGCCAGTCCTTGAACCAGTACAGTCAGTTCTTGAACCACTACAGTCAGTCCTTGAACAAGTACAGTCAGTCCTTGAACCAGTACAGTCAGTCCTTGAACCACTACAGTCAGTCCTTGAACCAGTACAGTCAGTCCTTGAACAAGTACAGCCAGTCCTTGAACCAGTACAGCCAGTCCTTGAACCAGTACAGTCAGTCCTTGAACCAGTACAGTCAGTCCTTGAACCAGTACAGTCAGTCCTTGAACCAGTACAGTCAGTCCTTGAACAAGTACAGCCAGTCCTTGAACCAGTACAGCCAGTCCTTGAACCAGTACAGCCAGTCCTTGAACCACTACAGCCAGTCCTTGAACCACTACAGCCAGTCCTTGAACCACTACAGTCAGTCCTTGAACCAGTACAGCCAGTCCTTGAACCAGTACAGCCAGTCCTTGAACCAGTACAGCCAGTCCTTGAACCAGTACAGTCAGTCCTTGAACCACTACAGTCAGTCCTTGAACCAGTACAGCCAGTCCTTGAACCAGTACAGTCAGTCCTTGAACCAGTACAGTCAGTCCTTGAACCAGTACAGCCAGCCCTTGAACCAGTACAGTCAGTCCTTGAACCAGTACAGTCAGTCCTTGAACCACTACAGTCAGTCCTTGAACCAGTACAGCCAGCCCTCAGCCAATACAGCAAACCATGTAACCTCTCCTTAATGTAATCCCTTCGCTAGGCTTAAACGAATAAAGTAATGCACTTAGTGCATTTTTGTACTGAAGTTCATTATGTTGTTAAGCCTATTATACACACCAATCTTTTTTATCATCTCTGAAAGAATATTCTCCATGTGTATGCTTAGACAGTCATAATACTGACGTATATATATATATATATATATATATATATATATATATATATATATATATATATATAACTGAAAACTCACACCCCAGAAGTGACTCGAACCCATACTCCCAGGAGCAACGCAACTGGTATGTACAAGACGCCTTAATCCACTTGACCATCACGACCGGACAAAATGAGGTGATAGCCGAGGCTATTTGAACCACCCCACCGCCGGCACTCGGATAGTAATCTTGGGCATAGCATTTTACCAAATCACCTCATTCTTTGGGGCACACGTGAGGAACACAAATGCGAACAAGCCTGAATGGTCCCCAGGACAATATGCAACTGAAAACTCACACCCCAGAAGTGACTCGAACCCATACTCCCAGGAGCAACGCAACTGGTATGTACAAGACGCCTTAATCCACTTGACCATCACGACCGGACAAAATGAGGTGATAGCCGAGGCTATTTGAACCACCTATATTTGAACCTATTTGAGTTGCGTTGCTCCTGGGATATATATATATATATATATATATATATATATATATATATATATATATATATATATATATATATATATATATTAGTATATTTTGGTAGCAGTCTTTCCTGTAGACATATATTATTAAATATGACCGAAAAAGTAAGATTAATAATTCTAACACGAATTTTCTCGATCTTTCTTATGTTTCTTTTCACTGTTGATGGTAATTGAAAAATCAATTCTCCAAAAATCCTTTTTATTTCTAGTCTGATGCGACACTTGAACGCGTTTCGTAATAACTTATTACACTTTCAAAGACTTTTAGTTTACACACACACAACTATAACCTATAAACACTAAACAGAGTTCTATGCTATCATGTAAACAGCTTTCATCTTATATACCTGCATTTGGGTGAGATGATATGTTACAACAGTTTTGGATGAGGTGAACAAAACATTCAACACAAGACAGAACACGAAACAATGGGTATAAATTGGGTAAATTAAAGGGAAGAATGGAAGTAACTGCAAAGGGCCTATTGGCCCATATTTCTTGATGCTTCTATATTGGTGCGGAGTCTTGTAGTGGGTAGAATATAGTGGTGCATTAATTGGCTGTTGATTGCTGGTGTTGACTTCTTGATGTGTAGAAGTCACATCAAGAAGTCAACACCAGCAATCAACAGCAGATACAATTATATTCCCAACCATTTCTGTCCCGACAGAGATTCGAACCCGAGATTTTCGATTCTGGGTCGAGAACGCACCAATCTGCACTACAAAGATAATGCCAGGAAGTAAGAATCACCTTATCAAAGGCGGTTAACCTTTAGAATGCCAAACCAGTTTAGCCCGCCACTACTATGCAAATTTCTTTGGGAAATTAAAAATGTATATATGTCTGGCCTACGAATCTATGAAAAAAAAACTGCCGCATTTTGGGGAAAAAAACATTCTAGGCGCCAGACTTTGACTGTGGCGAGGTGTGAGTGTTCCAAAAGTGGCAACAAAATATAAAAAATAAACTGAAAAACACATTTGAAGAATTAGAGAATGCTGAACGCGTTTTTGGCTCAATACGCCTTCATCAGAGAGAGAGAGAGAGAGAGAGAGAGAGAGAGAGAGAGAGAGAGAGAGAGAGAGAGAGAGATCCCTTTGAATTTGCTAAGTGCTCCAAGAACACAAACACATCATATAAGTAACTCACCAATTTATCAAATTCTCTACCATTGATGACAGCAAATAAAAATAACCCGCAATAATATGCTTGAACATTCAGCCCAAAACTTTTTTACACAAACCACTGTTGTGTAAAATACGAACAGGTCATGGAACGAATTTAATCCCAATTTGCATTTTTTGTTTAGTCAGTGAGGGAATGTTAATATTTCCCACCTTCCTCAACTTAAAATGGAAAATACTAAAAGCCTCCTAACTCTCCCCTTTCCTATTTTCAGGTTGAGCGGTTCTGATATATAAATGTGTTTGGCAGAAAGATGAAATATTGCCTTTTCACTCCCGGTAAATTCACCAACAACAGTTTGGTCGCCAGAAACGTTTACTTCCCGCCCAAAATAGAAAACGGTGCGGCATTATGGGGTACTAACCGCCCGACGTGACCGCCATGAGAGCGCGCGCACCTCACATTGATAACTGCATAAACCAATACGCTAAATCAGCAAGTGTTTATATCACTTAAGTATGGAAATATTGATGCTTTCTACCCCCTCGATAGGTTTGGTGGGTTGCTTGGGGGTTTGGACGCTTCTGGTTAGGTAAAAACAGTTGCATTTCTTACGGAATAGTATAGTGAGAGAACGGACTGCGTCCTTATCTGTTTCCAGGATCTAATTTGAGGGTACTATGCTATATATTTAAGCTTCTATAACGCTTAATCTTTTAATCGAACCCACTTTTGGAACGAATTCCCTAGCGCATACTGTCAACAATCTCTATAATAATGTCCTCTAGAGCGTATGCCCTCTGGAACGTTCCCGTGGCTCCACTAGAGGTCCCGAGACTCATAGTGTCTTTGAGGAGAACAGCATTAGAGGGAACTAGTGACCAGGAGCCAGAGACCAGTGTGTGGGAACCCCAAGTTTGGGCTCCGGGTGGCAGCCTCACGTCTCCTAGTGCATTCAGTGACATTTCAGGTTGCAATCTTTTGACCGTGTCTTTATATAGTGGTCCAGGGCGCTAGCTGGGGAGCACCAAGTGACCCAGTTCGAATCCCTCTCAAGGTTCCTATTGATTTTCCCATTGATACATCACGTTAATGAGATTTGTGTTATATGCGGAATAGTAAGTCGATGTGTACGATCAGTTAGCATAACATGGACCCAGAGCGTGGTATATATATCCTAAGGGAACTCCACAATGCTCTTAGCGAAGCCGTTTTGGCCGTGTTGTTGAGGTGTATACAAGGTCGGTGTGGGGGCCCGTGGGAGCGCCTTACCGTGTTCACAAGCCTCACTTTAATACCTTAGTAAGTCTCTGCGTTTTGGTAAGATTTTAACTTGCTAATTTGTGTGGAGGACAATGTAACTTTTTATTAAATTTTACATTTTTTTCCAAATATTTTTCTTCTGAAATATGAAAGTGTTGACTATTATATATGATTGTGATTTTATGTAGTCAAAACTAACAATGAAATTTGATCAAACCTTACCTATTGAAACCTAGCCTAATTAAGTCAGTAATTCACGTTCCTAATACTTTATTGTTAGAATAGGCCCAATTAATCTGGCAAGAATTATTTGAATATAACGAAAATCATTCGGCCTGTTAGGCAAATCGGACCCGCATATTCGGAAGTTCTAGCTAATAGGCACATTATATATATATATATATATATATATATATATATATATATATATATATATATATATATATATATATATATATATTGAGTACTTCTGTAGCGTGGGGTCTCAGTCTACCGTCTGCCACGTTTGTGGTCGAGGTTCGAGGCTTCAATAGGACCCCAAGTGAATGAAATGTTATTATCCTTTTTTATTGTGGTTAACTTTGTATTAAATAATAATAATAATTCCCCTTCCAGGACTGGGAGCCCGTGGTCTTAACCCTCCAGAGGTTGATGGGCCTTAATAACCCTCCAGAGGTTGATAGGCCTTAATAACCCTCCAGAGGTTGATAGGCCTTAATAACCCTCCAGAGGTTGATGGGCCTTAATAACCCTCCAGAGGTTGATAACCCTTAATAACCCTCCAGAGGTTGATAGGCCTTAATAACCCTCCAGAGGTTGATAGGGATTAATAACCCTCCAGAGGTTGATAGGCCTTAATAACCCTCCAGAGGTTGATAGGCCTTAATAACCCTTCAGAGGTTGATAGGCCTTAATAACCCTCCGGAGGTTGATAGGCCTTAATAACCCTCCAGAGGTTGATAGGCCTTAATAACCCTCCAGAGGTTGATAGGCCTTAATAACCCTCCAGAGGTTGATAGGCCTTAATAACCCTCCAGAGGTTGATAGGCCTTAATAACCCTCCAGAGGTTGATAGGCCTTAATAACCCTCCAGAGGTTGATAGGCCTTAATAACCCTCCAGAGGTTGATAGGCCTTAATAACCCTCCAGAGGTTGATAGGCCTTAATAACCCTCCAGAGGTTGATATGCCTTAATAACCCTCCAGAGGTTGATAGGCCTTAATAACCCTCCAGAGGTTGATATGCCTTAATAACTCTCCAGAGGTTGATAGGCCTTAATAACCCTCCAGAGGTTGATAGGCCTTAATAACCCTCCAGGCTGATAGGCCCAACACCAAAGCGGGGGGGGGACCATTAGTCAGCTGCGAACAAAGTGTGTCAAGTATAATACTATTTAAAGTATAGTAATTAATTACAAAATAATATGATTATATTTTGGTGGATTCAGTTTGTCTTTTGTTTCAG